CCCAATACAATATATAGATGGATGTCTGTAGCCCCTGTATCCCCGGAACCCCTAATATTTTTTATTAATCCAATTTCCCCCCAAATAAATTCCTTTAAAAATTAAGGAAAAAAAAAGGAAGGGGGTTTTTTTTTTTGGGGGGGGGTTTTTGGGACAGGTTTTTCTTCCCCTGCACATTAGAATCACCTGGGAATCTTTTAAAAATCTTGATTTCTGGGCCTCATCCTCCGGAAATTCTGTTTCTTTGTTATGGGGTGGGGCCACAACATTAGTAACAAAGAAACAGAATTTCCGGAGGATGCGGCCCAGGAATCAGGATTTTTAAAAGATTCCCAGGTGATTCTAATGTGCAGCCAAGGTTGAGAACCACTGCTCTAGACAATATCCCTTCCAGCTTATGAAACTCATGACTGTTTTCAAAGCATCACCTCACCTGAGAAGGCCAAAAGGAAAAAGGAGAAAGGAATTAACATTAAATGTATGTCAATTAAGTGCCATCCACTATGTTAGGCCCTTGACATATATAAAATAATATGTAATTCTTCAAACAACTCTATGACATAGGTATTGCTATTCTCAGTTTCAGATAAAGAAAATGAGGCTCAGAGAGTTTTGTTTGTCTGTTTTGTTTGTTTATAGCAAAGGTGGAAATTTATTGAAGAACAAGTACAGACTCCCACGTGGGGAAAGGAAAAGAATATCACAGCACAGACTCCCACATGGGGGGCGGGGGAGGGGGTGGGGGGGAGTCCTGAGGCTCAGAGAGCTTAAAGTGCTGCACCCAATGTTCCCTGACAGATGTGTAAAAAGGCCAGAATTATCCCTAGGCTCCTGCACCTGAATGGGACTGTCTCTTCTGCCACTTTGTCTGTCTGAACCCCTCTTATGGAGGAGGGGCTGCCCTGATTCTGGCCTGTAGCTGCCTGTATAGTTGCCCTCCTTAGAGTAAGATGTGACTACACCCACTCCTACGGCCACTTAAGACCTGGCAATCACCTCACGTTGGCATTTGCTCCACTGTCCAAAAGGAACTTGACCATCTGCTGATGTCCTGCGCTGGTGCAGTGGAAGAGGGCAGTCCAGCCTTGAATGTCCTTCATTTCTAGCTCAGCGCCTTGCTTCAAGAGAACACAGAATGCTTGTTACGGCCTCGTCTCCTCTACGTGGGGCGGGCGCCCTCCAGGTCATCATGCTGAAAGAATCAAAGTGATTACGCACACCATGGCCTACAGTGGTTCACATCTCTGCCAGAGCAGCCAGGAGCCCCTCAGGTTTCTGGGCCCGAGTCCCCTCGTAGCTCACCTGGAGGAGAAAGTAGGCGATGCTCTCGTTGCCACAGCTGGAAGCAAGCATCAGTGGAGTCTGCCCTTCCGGGGTCGGCACATTCACACTCACCCCCGCCTCGAGCAGCAGGTGCACGATGGTATCGTGTCCAATGTAGGAGGCATACATCAGCGGGGTCCAGCCACCACCATTCTTCTTATTCAAATCTAACTCTCTCCTAAACAAACGCAAGATATGCTCGCCATGCCCAGCCATCTCACAGGTGGGGTGTACCAGAGCTGGAGTCAAGGCCAGGAAGGAAGCTAAACGTCCTACAGTGCACAGGACGGCCCCCACCACAAAGAAGACCTGGCCCAGGTTGTCAGTAGGGCCAAGATCGAGAAATCCTGACCTGGAGCCTTGACTACCTTCCACCAACAGACCACAGTCTGGTAGCCAGTGCTGGGGGGAGAGGAAGGGACTTAGACAATTGAATTCCACTGCAACTGATTTCCCCTTTGTCACCTTGCCCTACAGAAACATTCTTAGAAAATCCGTGACCAAATAATCCTATCTTTCTCACTGATTTCCATTAAATTTCTAGAAAAGCATTTCCCACAGGAAAAAAAAACAAAACTGTGGGTTTCCCAAGATATGGAAATAACATCCACTTCCAGAACGTCTTGTGTAGTTTATGCCCCACAGCCTTTCCTCTTCCACAGTCCTTGCTTCCAGTGGAGCTATTCAATCTGCCAATCAATCCACACAGCTTGTGCCTTTCATAGGTGTGCACATAATACACCATACCATTCACTAGCATCTTCAACTGACTCTGGAATGGCCATACAGCCATTCTCAAAGGTCCTGATTCCAGGGATGCAGTAACAGCCACTGGCTGGGAGAGCCACATGAAGACCAATGCATCCTCACCATGTGACATTCATGATGGAGCACTCAATTCCACACGGAGGAGGAAGGGCCTGACCCTTGGCAGAACATATCTGAGGCTCTCACACCTCCCATCAGCCCAGTCCCCCATTCTAATGGATCCTCAGTCTATCTCACCGTGAGCAAGCCTTAGGATTGGCTAGCATCACAATCCCCATCAGAACACAAACATTTCCCTCTTCTCTTCTGTGGAGCCGTTCTGGACTGTGCATTTTACCAGAATACCAAAGTTAAAAGCCCCAAAACACCATAGCAGCAGAGTTATAAATGGAGTCTTGGTGACCCTGTCGGGGAGATGTGTTGCCTGAGTACCCAGCTACACGATCCCAAGGCCGCCTGGTGCCTTGAGAAATCCTGACCTGGAGCCTTGACTACCTTCCACAGTCTGGCAGCCAGTGCTGGGGGGAGAGGAGTACAATGGGGTGTCCCTCACCACAGTTCACTTGCACGTGACTGGCCAGGTTTTTTTAAGTGATGGCTACGACTTGGGCACCGGAAATCTGGGGCTTCAACAAGATTTGACTTTGATGCCCCAGGAACTGGAAAAGGCACATGTAGGTATGGACATAGATCATTTCTCGGTGTTATCGATGACAAATGGAAATATAAGCACAAAGTGTGGTGGATATAAAGGGTGTGGAGGCAAGGAAACAGATTATTTTCCAAAAATTACAGTACACATCACATTGTATTACAAACCAGACATAGCCAAGGTCCACCGCTCTTATATGGGGACTTATTATAACATTAGTAAAAAGGGTATGTGGGCAGTTAGTTCGGGTGGCAATCCTCCAGGGGGGCAGATGAACCTTGCTGCCTCCTCCTCCTCCTCTTTGGCAGATGCTGGAGGGAAGAGGGCACCAGGGATTAAAACGATCCCCTTGGGAAAAGAAGGCCATAGGGCATTGCTTTCTATTTTTATTTGAGCATTTCTGCAGTTAGTAGAAACCATAAAATTACTTTGGTTAAAGTAAGCTGGAAATGTTTCTAACTATACCTATGAAAAAAAGTTTAGCTTTTTCTTCCTAGGAATAAAAACTGCCTTCCTTATTAGAGTCCAGCATAAACCATTATTCACAACTGCCTGAGAGAAGCAGGGTTAATCTAGGCCATATGTACTAAATGTCTATGAATCCTGGTTAGCTTACTCATATCTCTATGTGGGAGTTGAGGCCACTGAGATGGGCCTCAAAATCTAAAGAGGAAGAATAGCCCTGACTGGTTTGGCTCAGTGGATAGAGCATCGGCCTGTGGACCGAAGGGTCCCGGGTTCGATTCCGGTCAAGGGCATGTACCTTGGTTGCGGGCACATCCCCAGTGGGGGGTGTGCAGGAGGCGGCTGATCGATGTTTCTCGCTCATCGATGTTTCTAACTCTCTATCCCTCTCCCTTCCTCTCTGTAAAAAATCAATAAAATATATTTTTAAAAAATAAAAATAAAAAAATAAAGAGGACGAATATTTCCCAAGATGTCTTACCGCTGCACACATTCCTTCACCACTTCATACTGGCCGATGGAAGCAGCTGTATGGAGATCCAAGGGGATGGCCAGCTGCTCCCAGCTGACCTGGGCACCTGGCCCATGCCACATAGACAAGCTGCGGGTCAGGAGTTCTGGCTCACTGGCTTCGTCGCTGAGCTCCGACATCGTTGTGGAGGGAGGTCCAGGGGTTAGGTCCTTTCTTTCCTGGTGGTTCCAGGGAAGGAAAACAAGATGGTCACACTCATACCTGCAGCAGGTGGTTATGTCACAACCTGGGACTGATTTAGACAACTTCCTTCCATTAAATATTGTATGATTTTGTCCAGCCAGCGTGGCTCAGTAGTTAAGCCTCAACCCATAAACTGGGAGGTCACTGGTTCGATTCCCTGTCAGGGCACATGCCCAGGTTGCAAGCCCGATCCCGAGGAGGGGGCATGCAGGAGGCAGCAGATTGATGTTTCTCTCTCATCCATGCTTCTCTCTCTCTCTCTCTCTCTCCCTCTCCCTTTCTCTCTCTGAAATCAATAAAAACATCTTTTTTTTTTAAAGTGTATGATTTTGTGAGCTTGTCACCAGACAGAAAAAGAAGAGCACACATGGTGAGTCATACACTGCAGGGTATATTTTCCTTCATTATCCTCAGGCCCCACACTCTAGAAAGGGTATTTTCCAGGAATTCAAGAAGCCTGAAAACCTCCTGGATGGTAAATAAAGAAATGCTAATTGGGTCAGTGGACCAAATCAGCTCTTGGGTGTGGGGGAAAGAACCCTGCACTTAGATCAAGATTTAGCTCTGCTGCCCTGGCCAGGTGGCTCAGTTGTTTGGAGAGGCATCCCTTATACCAAAAGGTTGTAGGTTTGATTCCAGGCAGGGCACATACCTAGGTTGCGGTTTCCATCCCTGGTGGGGGCACAAACAGGAGGCAACCAATGGATGGTTCTCGCTCACATCGATGTTTTTCTCTGTCTCTCTCTTCCTCTCCCTAAAACAAACAAACAAAAATAATAGGAACATATCCTCTGGTGAGGATTAAAAAAAGTTAGCTCTGCTATTTGGCATCTCCCATCCCCAGTTCTTCACTGTCTAATGGATACATAATAACTCAAAGGGCTGCTATTAAAGACACATGGAAGACCGAGTAAACAAACAGTGGCACATTCATAGGATGGAATGCTACGCAGCATTAAACAGAAAGAACAACAGTTGATACACACAACATGCCGCACAACCCAGGAGCCAATCTCCAACATACTGGGCTAAAAGCCAGACTCAAAGGCTACCTACTGTATGATTCCATTTATATGACTTCCTAGAAGAAATAAAACTAAATAGTTGGAGAACAGACTAGAAGTACCAAGGGTTGGGGGTGTGGGGTGCACAAAGATATAGCAAGAGGGAATTTGAGGGTGATGGACCTGTTCTGCATCTTAATTGGTGGATGTGTAACTCTATGTATTTATCAAAACTCATAGACCTGGACACCAAGTGAGTGAATTTTACTGTATGTAAATCATTTTAAACAAATAAAATTTGAAAAAAATTGAGAGCCCCTACCACAGGAACTAGGATCTGATTGGTGTTCAGCAAATGTCAAGTAACTACGAATCTTCCTCTTCATCCCTTGAAAGTGGGAGAGAGAGGACAATACCAGGAAGACTGTGATTACGAGAGCCTTTTATTCTGGGAATCCTACACAAATCAAGGCCAAGTCATTAGCTTCTTAGTAAAACCCTCAGGTCCAGGAGTGGCATTTGTCTCCTATTCTTCTCTGGGTGAAATAGAGAAAACAAAGAAGGGCCAAGTCCAATTCAGAAGGCCTAACGGTACCACAGACCACTCGGACCTCACTCTCTACTAAAGAATGCTTCCAAGCCCAGGAGACAGCCAAGATGGCCAAGACAACAAATAAGCTGCCAATTTGGGAGACAAAAGATTTGCAGACCTTTTGCAAGAGTATGTGTACATGTGATGGGGCCTACTGGCAACAAAGTGCAGAGCAAAACCCTGCCTCCTGGAGCCCCCACCTTGCACAGCTGGCAGGGCTGGGTCCAAGCAGCTCTCACTTTGCAGGTGTGAACCTTCAACCGGAGCAGTCCTGACCCACAGAGCCTGGATTAAAAGCCAAAAACGCTGAGTGTCAGGGCAGAGCTCCTTTCAAACACCCCTCAAGCCTCCTGTGGGTGTGTCTCTCCTACCCCAAACGCCTCCTCTTGGGTGGGGCCCATGTTCTCTCTCCTTTGATTGGATGCTCACATGCCCGACGGAGTGCTGAGGGCTAATCAGAACCAGGCCCCTACTCAAGACGCTTACGGAGAATTTGGATGCGAAGGGACCATAAAGCTATTATTACTTCCTTTTCACCCTGTCACTGCCAAACGCAGCATGATTCTATTTAATACTTTTAGAAAAGGTCTTTTGCATATCGCTTCCAGAACTTATCTCCAGGAAGTAGTGCTAGGGATGCGAACTTTTTTCACTCTACCTGTTGGTTCTGTCCATTTTGTAAAATAGTAAGTACCATTATTTTTAAAATAAGCAAAATGTTAACTTAAAAAAAAAAGGTGCCGGTGGTCGACCGTCACGCCCACAGGGAAGGGATCCATATGAGCCCCAGGGCACGCCCTGCGGTGCTAGCTCGCTGGCCTCGGGCGGGGCCGGTGCATCCCCATCTCCTTCTCCGGCTCTGGGGAGGGTCCCTAGGGAAGAGCCGGAGCACCTACAGCACAGACGTCCCCTGCCGTCTCCTCCCAGGAACCCTACCCGGAACGTGGCTTCATCTCCCCGCTCCACAGCTGCAGAGCGAAAGCTCCGAGTCAGAAACTCACTGAGCGAGCAAGCCGCAGGCTGGGACGCCCCGCGGCGGGCGGCGCAGGTGAGCAGCAGGTGCGGCACCAGGCGGGGCCGGGCCGCGGGGGACCCTACCTGCGCGGGCCTCAGCTCCTGGGTCGCCCTAGGCTACCTGCCGCCGCCGACTGCACGCCCGCCGGCTGCTGCGCTCCTCCGGCTGGACCCACGCTGCGCCGCGCGCGTCCGGGAGCCCTCCACGCCGGCTGCCTCAGCGTCTGGACCCACGGCCCTGCTCCCGCCCCGGAAGTGGTTGCGGAGGCGCGGAGCACGCCGGGACGTTCGCGGAATCGGGGAGCAGCTCTGGGCGCGGTGGAATTCGCCGGTTCCACACCCGGACCTTCCCGTCAGCTCGCCCGGCTCTCTGTAGGACGCCCGCTGCAACCAATGAGCTGGGAGAGTGCGCCTGCCCCGCCCCTCTCTGACCATAGCAACCAATCCTATTGCAAAAGGGGCAAGACGCGCCAAGCCCCGAAAGAGGCGGGGGGTTGGGGCTGGGGGGCGAGAGGGGCGGTTGGCAGTCGGTAAAGTAAGACTCCCCTGAGGGGGTAGTCCGAAAGCGGTGAAAGGTTCAGTAGTTGCGCCGCGGCCCAAGGGGGCGAAAGCGACCGGAGGGACGCGCTGGAGGCTGTTTATAGCCCTGTCAGGCCGGCGTCGGGAGGGGAGCCGAGGCGGAGGCCTGAGGTGAGGGGCCTCGGGCCTGCCGCAGCTGCAGCGATAAATGTCGGGAGTTGGACGGGACGCGGAGGAGACAGGGGTTGGGAGTGTGTGTCAGGACAGACGCTGGGTTTTCCGGTTTCCGAGCTTTAGCATTTAAAAGCCTGACCGGGGAGGCCGTTGGCGTCTAGTTGTCATGACAACCACCCGCCAGTGGTAGGAATGGCAGGGGTGGGACTTTGGGCGGGGCTAACGAGCTGCAGCCAAGAAACGGACGTGGATTCAGAGTCAGGATTCCAAGGAAACTTGGGATGCCAGTTTGTGTAGCATTTGGTTTAACCCTCATCTGCTGGATGAGCCAAGCTCCTCAGCTTGGCGTTCAGGACCCTTCACGATCTGGTCCGTTTTTATCGCAAAGTCCAGCAGTTGACACCTTCCCACCCCAAACTTTTTGGGCAATTTTCACTACATGTTCTCCTGCAGCCCAATGCCTTCCCCTTCCCCTTCATTGCCTTGTCCACCTAAAGAACTTATCAGTCTCTGGTTGTCCCCTTCACCTACGTGGTTCTGTTGTCCTCTGATCTGCCCTGCAGCCTGAGAACATCCCATGATGTATGTACTACATGCGTCCACACTCTGCAGTTTCCAGTTGTGGGTGCACCAAACTCCTGTCCCCACTCCTATAAGCACAGAAAAAGCAAGAAGCCCACTGCTGCTACACTGATGGGAGCCTTGATGCAGAGTGGCAGCCAGCTAGGGCTGGAGCAGGAGTGTTCTCTTCCCATTTTATAGGCACTGCTGCCTCAGGCTGCAAGGATTTTCCAGGCACTGGCTCTGAAATACATCATCCTACATTCCTAAAGCCCCTTTGACCCATGAGAGGCTGGGCCTTTTCCTTTTAGACTGGGATACAAAAGGGGGGGCTGCTTCAGTGCCTTGGTATGAGGGTTAAATTGAGTGATGACTCAGAAAAAAAATATATATCCTGGGGACTCCAAAATGTCTCTAGTCTATTCCTTTGTAAGGGAGCAATAAAAGTTAGTGGGGCCAAAAATCCCCTCTAATTTCGATGCAAATTCTCTTTCCCATTTACAAACAATATAACTTATCTGAACCTATGAAATATAGATAATAGTATCTATGTTATATGAGATATATATAGTTTACATTATCTATATATCATGTATATACATATATCATTGTATATATCATATACTTATGTACATAATTATCAATACCTATATATCATCATATATCACTATATACTTCATGTACATATATCTTCGGTCTCCATACTGCACTGCACACACACACACACACACACACACACACACACTCTCACATACACACACAGTGCAGGGCACAGTGCCTCACACTCAATAACAGGAACCTGCAGAACCAGAAGGGAAATGGGGTAGGTAGTCTGTGAGTCAGTTTTCATCCCCCTCAAAGTGGTAGATTCTTTGAAAAGGCACCTCCTGTTCCCCTACCACCACCGCCCCAGCTCTTGACCCCTGGTCCCTGGATCCTGTCACCTCACCCCGCATCCTCTATAGGGTTCCTTGGATGATGGCACACTGAGAAACTTCCTCTGAGCCCAGGCCCCCATGGCATCCCAAGACAAAGATGTGGGGCCCTCACTGCCCTCTCCGTGGGCCTCCCAGATGGGGCCCTGGGAGGCCATTCTTGAGGCTGTCAGGGAGCAGCTTCCGTCTCTGGACTCGGATTCCTCTTTGGTAAGTAAAGTACCTTCTTCCCATGTCATCTTAGGCCCTGATTGCTCTTCCTTTCCCATGACAAATGTGATGCTGGCGCATGGATGGCTATGGAGCTTATTAGCTCTGCATTCATCATCAGTGTTTTTGTTCTCTGAATATATTTATTAGTGCTCAGCATCCTCCTGGGTCTTACTAGTGACCCCAAAGGACAACTGGAGAATTCCTCTGAGGGCTTATCACAATGCACTGAAATGGTAGCCACCCTCAGTGGTGGTTCCAGCCAAGTTCTGGCTCAACAGAGAGTTGAGAAAGCACCTCAGCAGAGGAGGATAGCGGGAATATCAGCATCAAGCAGACCTGGGTCCCCATTTCCACTCAGTAGCTAACTTACCATGTAACCTGTGGGCAGTTATCACTGGTACAAATTTGGGATTCTGTATGTAAAGGGCCTGGCCCAGAACGGGTGCTCAACTAATAGAGTTAACAAAGTTACCCATATCCTAGGGTATTTTTTAAATCCTCACCCAAGGGCATATTTACTGATTTTGAGAGAGAAAGAAAGGGGGAGAGAGAAACATCGATATGAAAGAAAAACATTGATATGAGACAGAAACATCAATTGGCTGCCTCCCGTATGCGCCCAGACCAGGGATTGAACCTGCAACCTTTTGGTGCACAGTAAGATGCTTCACCAACTGAGCCCCCAGCCAGGGCTTCATCCTAGTGTTTTTCTCATCCTGGCAAACACCCCCATTTGCTTTATGGAAGATGGTGATAAACAGAGAGGTACATCATGTAAGAGTTAAAGACCAAGGCTCCACGTTGTAAGTTGTTGTAAGGATTAAATAATTAAATTTTGAGCACAGTGCTTGGGACATGGTGAATGTATAATACATAGTAATTTTCTTTTTAAAAAATATATTTTTATTGATTTCAGAGAGAGGACGGGAGAGGGAGAGAGAGATAGAAACATCAATGATGACAGAGAATCATCGATCGGCTGCCTCCTGCATGCTTCCCACTGGGGATTGAGCCCACTACTGGGCATGTGCTCTGACCAGGAATTAAATTGTGACCTCCTGGTTCATGGGTCGACACTCAACCACTGAGCCACGCTGTCCAGGCCATAGTACTTTTCTTATTGATCACATGCATTCATTCAACAAACATTTAAAGAGCCTACTCAGCCTCTTCAAGGACCAGGAGGCCTTTGTAACGTTATACACTGTGGTGGGCCTTGCTTCACCATGATGGTCATTGTGCTTCTAGTTTCTACCTACTAAGAGAATGTTGGGTGGCAAAAGTGACTCTGAATTTAAGTTTAAGTGAGTTGTACCATCTTCTCATGTAGTGGAAATTAGGCATGTGCACACATGTAAATGTGACAACGACCCCACAAACAGAGCAAAGTGGGCGATGCACCAGGTAGGAGCTCAGCAGTGGATGTCAAATACACAGGTTGGAGCTGGGCATGTAGAGAAAGGTTTTAGAAATAACAAGCCAGATTTGGATCTTACCTGTGGTGCCTGCAAAGATGAAAAGGACACAGCTTCCACCCGAGATCTTCCAGTGCACAGCAAGGCTAATAGGGAGCAGATAATGCAACCCTAGTGCCTTTTCACATCTTCCATCTCATTTGCTCTCTTCAGAATACTCCTGTGAGGTGGGCAGGTGACTGTAAGTGCCTTCCCCACCCTACCTTAGAGGCGACAAATGAAGGCTCCATGTCATTAAAGGATGGTTCAGGTCATGGGGGAGGAGAAAAGCTGGACTCTGCTCTTTTAGCTACCACTTTGGTACCCAATTCATTCACACCAGGCATTAACTAAGCACCTGCCGCGCAATGTCAAGGATGGCAGGTATGTGCAGAACTGGGAACTCAGGATCTCACTTCCACGAGGTGGTGCTGCTGAGCTTACTTTTCTAAATCAGCAACAGGAACCAGCACTGGGCAAGGCCCTTTGGGAGAGAACTGATTGCCCCTACTGTCCGGGGAGGCAGGGCAGAATGGGGTAAATGGGGCAAGGCCCTCCTGGCTCTACCCCCTGCCAGGTAATCCCTGAGCTCTCTTGTCCACAGTCAGACTGCGGAGAAGAGGAGCTGTTCATCTACCAGCGAAATCAAACCACCCTGATTCCAGACTTGTCAGAGGAGCTGGCTGAAGACCCTGATGGGGCCTGGGTCGCTCCGGCCAACAGGTCTCCTGAGGTCAGTGGAATGCAGGCTCCAGGGAACCTGCTGGCAGAACAGGGTGTGGGAGTGAGTGTCCCTGGCTCTCACCGGATTCTAACAGCAGTGTGAGTTAAAGAGGTCAGAACCCCTGGTCCAGCATCTCTGCACACCCAAGCCTTTCTCCAGGTACAACCCAAGGAGTTCAGACACCAAACATCTACCAGCCTGTTATACAGTACAATTCCAGGAGCCCAGCACACTTAAGACCAGGGTTTTTCTTCATTTCTATGATTACCTCAGCAATTCTTCTGGATGATTTTTTTAAAAATTCAAGATGGAAAAGTCTGTACCAATTTATGGGGGTCAAGCCCTGGGCTTGCTCTAGAATCAAAGGGCCTGGGTTTTATCTTATCCACCCCTTAATAGCTATGTAGTCTACTTATAGTGGCCAAAGTTGGGAGCAACCCACGTGTCTGTCAACAAACAAAAGGGATAAAATGTGGTCTAGCCATACAGTGGAATATTATTCAGTCCACTAAAAGGAATAAAGTACGGACACATGCTACAGCATGATGAACCTTGGAAACTGAGTAAGTGAAAGGGCACAAAAGAACAGACAGTGTATATGGTTCTACTTCATTGACATATCTAGAATAGACAAGTTTATAGAGACAGAACGTAGATTAGAGTTTACCAGGGCTAGACAAGTGGAGGTATAGAGTTCCTGGGTTTTTTGGGGGGAGGGGTACAGAATGAAAGAGCTTAGAAAATGGACAATGGTGATGATTGCACTGCATTATGAATGTATTTAATGCCACTGAACTTAACATTTAAAAATATTTAACATGACAAAGTTTGTTATAGACATGCCACAATTTTAAAAAAACTTCCCTAAAGTATGTTTTTGAGGCTGCTAACTGAGGACACCTGTTTTCTCAATAGCCACTTGTGGTACCTGTGGAGTTCTCAGCAGAGCCCTGGGGTGAATGGAACGTAAGGATGAAGGAAGGAAAGGACCCTGGCCAGCCCTTGGAGAGTGGTGAGAGCAGCTCTCTTAGGATGCCCGAGGAGACCCCCACATGGCAGGAAGGTGACCTTGGAGACATGTCTTTCAACACCAAAGGATCCCCGAGTCCTCCTTGGGGGCCGCAGGGAGAAGCCACCCTCTGTCTCTCAGAAGAAGACCTGAGGACGGACCCAAATGCTGTCCCTTGCGTTCAGAAGGGCTCAGACTCTGCAAACCGGAGAGCCCTCCGAAAAGAGAGAAGGAAGATGATCGAGAGAGACTTACTTCATAAAGTCACCTGGGGTGCCAGGGGCCCTACCTGCAGTGACCACAGCCAAGTGAAGGAGACACCCTGTGAATCTGCATCCACAGGTCCGAGACCAGGAACATCATCACAGGGGCCCCGGGAAGGCCTGCCAGTGCTCTCCCTCGAGGTAGGCAGCTCCCTTGCCCTGTGCATCCTCAGGGTGTGACCTGTAGTGGTCTCTAGACCTGTAGTGGTCATAGGCCAACTTGAGGGCTGGCCCATTACACCTGTCTTAATCTGCGGGAGCTGCTATAACAAAATCCAAGATCCAGGCACTGGCACATTCTGTGTCTGGTGAGGGCCTGCCCTCTTCTCACTTTGTCCTCACTTGATGGAAGGGATTTGGGGCTCTTTTATGAGGACACTAGTTCCAATCATGAGGCTCCCCCCTCATGACCTAGTCACCTCCCAAAGGCATCACCTCCAAACCCCCACTTTGGGGGTTAGGATTTTAACATATGAATTTGGGAGGGGGACCAATATTCATTCTACAGCAGCGACCTTAGGCCCATGGTCCCCTGACCACTGGCAGACAGGCTGTCATACCTGTCTCAGGTGCTGGCTGACAAACCATCCTCAGGTAGAGTTAACAAAAACAAGGAAGAGTAAGGAGACTCCAGCCTTCTTAAAAAAAAAGTGCTAATCCCAAGCATGTTTATAAAGACACACAACTGCATATAACATAGAGAACAGAGCCCCAGCCAGTTTTGCTCAGTGGATAGAGCGGCCTGTGGACTGAAGAGTCCCGGGTTCGATTCCAGTCAAGGGCATGTACCTCAGATGCAGGCTGAAGGGCACGTGCAAGAGGCAACCAATCGATGTTTCTCTCACATTGATATTTCCCTTTCTCTTCCACTCTCTCTAAAAATCAATGGAAAAATACCCTCAGGTGAGGATTTTAAAAAATGATGTTGAAAAACAGAGCCCTAGGTGGTTTGGCTCAGTGGATAGAGCATCAGCCTGTGGAATGAAGGGTCCCAGGTTCGATTCCGGTTGAGGACACATGCCCGGGTTGCAGGCTCGATCCCCAGTGGGAGGTGTGTAGGAGGGAACCAATCAATGATTCTCTCTCATCATTGATGTTTTTATATCTCTTTCCCTCTCCCTTCCTCTCTGAAATCAATAAAAATATATTATTTAAAAAAAGAAAGAAAAACAGATAAATAATAAAATAATTTAAAAAATAGAGAACAGATTCTGTCAAAGCATAATTCTCAAACATTAAAGCTCCCATTCTCATACAAATAGTGAATACCTGTTAACATTGGATTTCGCTCATGAATGAGGGAACCAGCAGGATGACAAAAGCAGTTTAAAGAGATTATGAGAGACTAGGATTTTGTAAGACATTGGAAGAAAAGAATTGAATGCTGAGATAAAACTGCTACATTAAGTGTAAAATCAGTCAACATCCTACCCGGCAACGGAACTGATACCTTTGGGGCTATCTTCTCTACTCTACCATTGCACTTTCTCAGTTTTACAAAGTGGTAAAACAGGTGGGCCCTGATCAGTTGTGCAAACCAACCTCCCCTAGGAAGGTGAGCTTCTTAGAAAAGCTCCAGCATGACATTGAAAGGTCATGCAATTCTCTATTTTGCTTTATTTACAAATTTGAACAATTTTCTTAACAACTTAGGGAAACATGGCATCAAGGTGTTCATGGAGGTCATTTTCACAAATTCCATTCTTATCAATTCCATTCTTTCAGTTCACTCCTAAACACTTTTATTTTCATTCACCTACAGGGCTGCAAGGGACTGCAAGGTCATACATAAGAAACATTCATTCCTGATTAATTTCCCTCTTCTGATCACACCAACTCTGCCCCCACAGCATCCAGTTTTCAGCACCTGCCTGAAATTATCTGTTTCTTTTCCTTTTTTAATATATTTTCTGCCCTAACCGGTTTTGCTCAGTGGATAGAGCGTTGGCCTGCGGGCCTGCGGACTGAAAGGTCCCAGGTTCGATTCCCGTCAAGGGCATGTACCTTGGTTGTGGGCACATCCTCAGTAGGAGATGTGCAGGAGGCAGCTGATCGATGGTTCTCTCTCATCGATGTTTCTAACTCTCTGTCCCTCTCCTTTCCTCTCTGTAAAAAATCAATAAAATATATATAAAAAAGAAAAAATATATATTTTCTATTGATTTCAGAAAGGAAGGGAACGAGAGAGAGATAGGAACATCAATGATGAGAGAGAATCATTGATTGGCTGCCTTTTGCACACTCCACACTGGGGACTGAGCCCGCAACACAGGCATGTGCCCTGACCAGGAATTAAACCATGACCTCCTGGTTCACTGAGCAACGCTGGCTGGGCACAGTCTGTTTCTTAAGAGCAAAACTTTTTAACCTTCCAGTGTTTTAAACCTGTATGAACCTACAAAGTTTTAAAAAGACACCAGGTTTTCTCCAGGTCAAAATATACCTTTGTGCCAGACACAGAAGTATTAACCGAAAAGGCACAGGAAAGAGGTGCAGATCCCTGGTGGTTCATTCTGCAACCCACACAGGGTGGATGAGTAAGCCCCAGCTGTAAATGTGGGCATGCCTCCAAGTCCTGATTCCTACTCCGGGACATCCCATGCCAGCCTCTGTTGCTCCCGGCACCCTGCGGCAGCCTTGTAATCTCCACTTTAAATCATTTCAGCAACTTGAAGAGTGGGATTTGGATCACATCCTTCAGAGTCTGACTGGACAAGAAGACGACCGGGGAGATGGAGCACCTAGAGGAGTGTGGTGGGCAGCTGATCACCTCCAGGGCCCAGGTCTGACCTTAAACACCAGGGCCCAAGGGCATCTCCACAGCAGCTCCTTCCAGGGCCTCTCAATAAAATAGGTTCATGGGTTCGGTAAAGTCAGCCTTGAAGCCCACCATGTCCTCTCTGCTGCTCAACCCTCACTGTCTTGAACATTCAGGTGCCAGTCCTTGAAAGACTTCATTTATTCACTCTCATTCACTCATTCATTCACCGTATGTGTGACTGCCTGCTATGTGCCAGGCATAGACCAGGCCCTGGGAATACAAGAGAGAGCCCTTCAGAAGTAGTCCCTGCCCTTGACCTTCACCTTTTCCTCCTACCCACCACCTGAAGCCTCCCTCTCTTTCCTTCTGGGTGGAAAATAATCCTGCCTTTGGCACTACTTCAGCCAGCTTCTAAACACAATCCTGCTTCTACTGCCTCCCTGTTTACAAAAGACAGCCAGGGATGTTGATTACTGTCAGTGCACTTGTGGCCTTGCTGTGGGCAATTCTAAGAGCTAATATGCTAATTAGACCAGATGGTGGAAGGACCAGTGGTGGGGGGAGGTCAGTGAGCCCGCGCTGCCAGGCCAGCCATGGTGGTCCCGGTGCCCTCCCTTCCACAGAGGCGGCTGCAGGGGAGCGGGCCTAAGTGCAGTTGGCATCCCCCCGAGGACTCCCAGGCTGCCAGAGGGATGTCTGACTGCCAACTTAGGCCCGATCCCCAAGGGAGCGGGTCTAAGCTGGCAGGTGGACATCCTTTGAGGGGTCCCAGACTGCGAGAGGGTGCAGGCCAGCTGAGGGACCCCCGAGTGCATGAATTTTCATGCACTGGGCCTCTAGTTCTGTAAATAAAACAAAGGTGAGTGGGGGCAGGTCTGAGGCAAAGAAGCCAGGACATTCAGTTAGGCCTCCAGTTCAGAGTGAATGCTCCTCTGGGGCTAATAACCCTGTGCTGTTTTTAACAAGGTTTTGTTTGTAATTTAGCCCTTGTTAGCAGGCTGTGGAGAAACCCTATAAGGTGGGGTGAGAGTGGGGGCTGTAATTAGTACCCCTTTTTTGAGGACAATGTGGCAGAATGTTTTCTATTTAAAAGGCATATAAGCCTTTGATCAAGCTATTCCACTTCTAAAGTCTATCCTAACATATACTCACATAGGTGGGTAAAGATATGTATTCAAGGATATTCATCTCTGTTGCAGTTTGTTTACAATTGTGAAAATTGAAAGCAACCCATATTTAGTATCATATTCAATAGGAGTCTAGCTAAATCTGTTAAACCACAGAACAATCTGCAGTTAGTCTGTATACACTAACTTGGAAAGATGTAATATATTCAGTGAAAAAATCTACAGAGGATAATCCAATTGCTATTTTTTTTAAAAGTGAACACAAGTGGAACTAGGGAGTGGGATAAAGTGTTAAGAAGTCACCCCAATGAGTTGCCTCTCTGCTCCTGAAGATACCACTCCCCCAGCCCTCCTGAGCGGATGTGGGATACCAAAGGGGTGGGGCAGGGCCTCCCAGGCCCCCTCACTTCTCCATGTACAAGCTGGAGGTTCGTCCACATGAGGGGTCAGGGCTCTGTAAGTCAGTTACCAAGTCCCCATTAGTCAGCCTCCCTTACTCTCTGGTCAGATCATGCCAAGCCCAGCACCCAGGACAGGCTCATGGAACAGCTCACCCTCCTATGTGCCAAGCAATTCAGAGCCTCTTCCTCTGCCTGGAAGGTGCCTGCAGACATGCGCCCGGACAATGAGCAGCTGGAGGCCAGAAGCAGGTGGGACTTCTTGCCGGTCATGGCCCTGTCCTCTTTAGAACTGGCCCCAGCCTGGCAGCCTATTGTGGATGGGGCACTTGATGCATATTTCTCATTTCATCTAAAAAAATCTGATCAAGTAGGTGCTACTATGATCTCCATTTCATAGATGGGGAAACTGAGGCTTAGAGATATTGACTTACCCAGGTCATATGTAGCAAAGTTGGAACTCAAGCCCCAAAGCACCTCTCTTTCCACCACCCCATGGGAACCCTCCCTTCACCATCCACATGGTCTTCCAGGGGCATAGGGCCCTGGTCTTCTGGCCCCTGTTAATTGAGCCAGCCCTGAATAGCTGACCCCAACCAGGCCAATTAGAGCCTTTCCTTGGGAATTTTTACCCCGGTATCTGGGTAGAGGTGAGAGGGAGGAGAAAGGCCAGTTGTGGTGAAAAACACTGAAGCTGGGGGGTGGGGAGAAGCAGAGATGGGGACAGGGCCCAGTTGTATCCCTGCCCTTCCCACACTTGGGTTGTTCCACTCGTTTTAAGAATCTGAGAGCCAATGATTCCCTTTTCCCTTGAGTTAGTTGGAGTGGTTTCTGTCCCTGGCAATCCAAAGTGTCAACAGAAATGTCTAGACCTGCACTGTTCAATTGTAGCCACTGGCCACATGTGGTTACTGAGCCCTTGAAATATGGCCTGGGCAACTGGGAAACTGAATTTTTATTGTATTAATTTAATTTTAGTTAGCCTAAATGTAAATTGCAACAAGTGGCTACCACGATGGAAAGCACAGATATATTTCAATCATCACAAATCATCACAAATTTAGGCACTGGCCTAAATCTTAAGGGTTGTTCTGAAGAGTAAAATAATTCATTGATAGGCCCTCCTCAGTGCCCCACACACAGTGGGCGCTCAGTCAGTGGCAGCCAGTAGCCCAGCAACAGGTCCCCTGTAATCACTGAGAAGTGACTCAGCACCCCTGCTCTTCTCATCTCAGATGTGCTTTGACAAAGCTGAGTCAGCGTCGGCTAAGGAACCCAGTGGAGCCTCCCACCGTCTTCATCGACCTGAGGCCCACAGAGCCATCAGACCAGGGGGCACTGGAAAGGTACAGAGAGCAATGACAGCCCTGCAGCAAACCCACTGCTTTGTGGATGACACATTGGCCTAGAGGGGAACAGAGACTTCGAGGGATGGAAAGACTTGGGCATGGGCAAGTCCTGGGAGCACCGCTCAGTTGAGAAGTGCTCTTAGCCAGGAGCCAACAGTCCCACATGGTCATCAGGAGGTTCTCCCAGCAGAGAGGGAGGAAGCAGAGGCAGACAGCAATCTCTCTAGGTCTAAGCAAACAGTCTAGGTGGGGTTCATCGCCCTGGGGTGCTTCCCTCTACCACCTGGAAGGAAGTTCAGTGGCCCTTTGGTTTGGGTTGGCTGGGCTTTGGCTGGCCTGCCCATCCTCCTGCCTTGGGTTACCAGGGAGGCCTGGGCACTCCAAGTCCTGGTAGGAGCCTGGCCTGGTCAGGGTGGATTGGGGCACATCTAGCAAACCCTCGTTTCCTCTGCCCCAGCACCGGCTCCGGCTCCAGCTCCAGCTCCAGCTCCAGCTCCTCTGACAGTGAGGAGGCAGGGGAAGAGGAGACAGCTGCTCGGAGAGACTGGCAAGGCCCAGGGGGGCTACGGTAACCACTACGGGCTCCTGCTGCCTGGGGCTGCTCCCTGTTGCTTCCGCACAAGCCCTTGGCCTGGCACATTTAATGTTTGTGCTTTCAGCTCTATGTGTTGCACCCAGGCCAGCACATGAGGGTGTGTGTGGGGGGGGGAGGGGGGGGTCTGCGGAGGTGGAGAGGGTAGTCTTGGGAGCCCACCTGGGGCCCAGTACCATCTCAGCCTGGCTGCTGTTCCCCGTCATCACCAAGGATGCCTCAGCCTGCTCTGAAAAACAGCTCCCCAAATTGATTTCGCCCCCAATTGGTGATGGCAGTGGAAGTGAAGGGAAAGTACAGAGTAAAGTGATAAAAGGCCTGGGTGAATTAAGATGTGAAATGTCAGATTTAGAGAAGGCGCAAGTCTCCTTCAGGCGGGGGAAGGGGGGTTGTGGGGCAAGTCTCCTTGGGGGGCGGGAGGGACATTGTTGTCACTGGCAAGTTACAATCATGCTGTAGCAGTGTCCATTTTTGGAACTGGAAAGCTTGCTGATCCTATCCTTTGAGAATGTCAGTCTAATGCAACTTTTCCCATACTCTGGTCCATGATCAAGCATTATAGGAAAAAATAGGGAAGAAAATTTGGGTTGAAAAAGGTCAGATGGGCTTCATCCCAGACATGTTTAACACGATGACATGAATTGTGACTCAGCAAGGGCGGGAAGCTGCAATCGTTTATTTACATCTTGAGAACTAGGGAAATGCTCCTGGAAGCACTGGCTTTGTGTGTGCCCTGTTTCAGTGGCGAAGCATTGGGAGGTCTGGCCTCCACTTGGCATTGACTGAGGTGGTTCTCTTGTGTTACAGGGACTGTACTGGGAAAAGTCAGCTTCTCCAGCAGCTCAGGGCTTTTCGGAAGGGGATGGCTCAGCCCCAGTGGCCTGCCAACAAGGTTCCTAGGAGCCAGAAGGCTCCTGAAGATACAGCTGGATCTGGGGCTGGAAGGAAGCAACATGTAACACTCTGAGTAAGGCAGAATGCCCTGGCCAGACACTCAGGAGGAAGTCCTGGGGCCCTCGGGGACCCTCTTGGGCCAGGGATAGTCAGAGGCCCTGGTATCTCCTCTGGGCCAACTGTAAATGCCTCTGGGACTGGATCTTGGGAGGTTATTGGGATGGGTTGACTCAGTCAACACACCCAGGTCTGATGGTCTCTTCACTCTCCCGTTTCCGTTAGCAGGTGCTTTTGCAGTGCAGGGCCTCTCAGACTGGACCCGTTACCAAGCTCTCTGTTAGAATTTGGTCAGAACATTTTTATGCATTTACAGCAGAGATCCCAGCACAAACTTATACACTGTACAGCATGAAGACAACTCAGGTGACCCTAATCCTCTGAGAGGGCGTGGAAGGAAAGCCCATGAAGACAATGGTTTTGTTCTGATGGTTGAACTGCGAGCCTATACATCTTTGTCCATTTCTGTATTTTTTCCATTAATGTACATCTGTTATTTTCATCGTACAAGGTCTTTTTAAAAACTGTAAAAACATACTTACAGATTTTCAGGTGGAAAGGGTCTTGAAAGAGAATTTAGCCTGATTTTCTGGGTCCCTGGATACTCGCTAGTTTGTGTACTTACCACACCACACACACACTAAATGAACTTTTGAGATTTCTCTTTTTTTCTTTAAGACACAAAGGCACATAGAGGTTCTACGGTTATTCCAAACTAAAGGTGAAGTTGGCCTTTAAATACAGAGAGAATATTGAATGCTCTAACACCCGAAACTGTCCTGATTTCCTAAGGTATCCTTGTGGAGAGCCAGCAACCTGAGGGCCCACAGGAGGAACTCCCGCGTCTCTCACCCTGTTTCTTTGCAAGCATTATCCCCCACCCCCCACCCTCATTTTCATAGTCCCTTCGTAACAGGCTGAAGCCCTGATACATGGCACCTCTGTTCCCTCCCCAACTTGTTTCCAAGATTTTGCTCGTCAGTCTCCCACCCCATTCCTCGCCTGCCCTATGCAGGAAAGTCATCTGGGGTCTTCCCATGCTGTGGACTGGGGTGGTCCAGCAGGGTCCTTGGCATTTGGGTGCATGTTCCAGTACTCAGCTAGGGTCACAGTTGGCTGCCATCTGCTGAGGGTGGGCAAGGGTCTCTTCCCATTTAGCTCTGCACCAGGCAAGACAGGCCCTGCAGGGCCTCAGCCAGCCACAGGAAGTCACGATCAGGGCCACAGACACTATTGATCTGGCCACAGAGTTCCCACAACCAGCCCCCACCCACAATGAAGGGCATTTTCATTAGAAGCCAGATGCAACAGGGGCTTCCACAAGGCCATAGGAGCCCCCAAGGAGACATTCCTGCAGAGAAGGTGGCAGGCTGCTGTCATCTGGAGTCCCCAAGCCCTGTCCCACCTGTGGAGGCCCCACACCCTCAGTTCTAGGGCACACACAGGACAGGGCAGCCTCAGTGCTGCACACCTCCACCTGTGCTGCCAGCCTAGCTGTCAAGAGCAAAGGCCATTTTTTTCCTTTAACCCCATTTCACCCATCTCTACCCCTTTTAATGCCAGTAAGTTCATTTAGGATGTTTCACAGTAATAGAAAAGAAACTTTGTTCCAAGTTCAACTTTGAATTATTCTGTCAAAGTAAGCTGGGAGGATGAGGCGGTGGGAGTTTACACCTGGATTGAAAGCCTGTTCCGCCACTTGGATAAGGTTCTTAGAGGTCCCGTGGCTTCAGTTTCCCCGTCTATAAAAGAAGACTAATGAAAAGTCCTACATCATAGCACTGCATGTTCCATATCATGGAACAGGCACATGATGGGCCCATCAGACCAGGAAGAGGACAGCCTCCTCCGGCACCAGGCGGGACCTGAGAGAACTGAGCTGGGGCTCTTGGCTGTGTGTATGTGGGGGGCAGGTTGTCGGCAGTGTTGGACCAGGCTGGGTATACTTGTCCTACGAGAGCTCTGGAAGCTGGCCTAGAAGGTAAAAACCATCTTTAAGCTAGGCGACCCCATTCTCCAGCGAATATGCAGGACAGAGCACAATGGGGCTGGGAGGAGGACTGACATGATTTATTAAGGGAGAACTGTCACATGCCCTGGAACCTGGGTTGTGTAGAAAGGTGAAAATATATACAGCAATTAAGTGACAAAACAGTGGAGCATCAAGAACTGGCATGAGGGCCAACGCCACCCAGCAATAAGGAACAGTCACACTTCTGGATAAAATATTCCAGAACCAGTGACTTCAGCAGCTGCCCCATGACTCCAGAGATGACTAAACTGGACAAGGACTCTATACCTCTTCCCTCAGCCACTCAGGAGACCGTGGATATAAAGAGGCATGTCTGCCTCAGACAAAGTAGGGCAACCAAGACTGGCCTGTATCCTGGAACACGGCCACTTGGGGCTGGCGCAGAGGCAGCCCTGGCCCCTTACCCTGGGAGGATGGCAAGGCCAGTCAAATCCCCAGGCTTCCTCATGGGTTGGGGAGGTCTGGAGATGGAGTCAGGCATCCATCCTACGAAACTGTGGATCTTCAAAGGTAACACCCAAATCACCCCATCTCCCTTTTTAAAAATTTATTTTTATTGATTTCAGAAAGGGAGAGAGGGAGAGAGAGAAACATAAATGATGAGAATCATCGATTGGCTGCCTCCTGCATGACCTCTACTGGGGGATTGAGCCCACACCTGGGCATGTGCCCTGTTCGGGAATCAAACCGAGGCCTCCTGGTTCATAGGTCAATGCTCAACCACTTAGCCACACCAGTCAGGCACCCCATTTCCTCGTTGACACCACTGGAATGTAGGAAAAACCCCCACCACCTACATTTAGAAAGTGTAGCAAGGTTGGAGGGGAAGGCTGGGGTATGTAATGCCATAAGCCACTGCAGCCGTTGCAGCTTCCCCTGCAGTGGTTAGAAAGTGTCCCTCAAATTCTAGTCCAACCAGAACCTCAGAATGTGACCTTATTTGGAAATAGGGACATTGTAGATGTAATTAGTTAAGATGAGGTCATTCAGGGGGGGCCAGTAAATACAATGACTATATCCTTAGAAGAGGAGAGGACACAGGGAGAAGGCCGTGTGACGACAGCCACAGCCACGGAGTGATGCTGCCACAAGCCCAGGAACATCAGGGTCTGTGGGCCACAGGGGAAGTGGAAGAGGCACAGGATTCTCTACCGGAGCCTCCAGAGGACACCAGTGCTGTAGACACCAGGACGGACAGATTAATTCCGGTTGTTGTAAGCCGGCCAGCGTGTGGTCATTTATTCAGCAGCCCTAGAACCGAATACACCGGGCCCTGTGCCCAGCATTCCACCTGAAATGTCCCCTGCTGTGTCCTCACACCAGGCCCAGGGGAGCAGAGTTCATGTGAAGGTGCCTTAAGGTCAGCGTTTCTGGTTCTGGGTAACGGCTCTGGCAGCTTCATGAACTGAGCATGGTAGTCAGGCTTTGGCCCTGGGAACTCCTGGAGCCTCGAGGGTCTGGGTAGTGGCTACACCCCCTTGGTATAGCTATGTGGATGCTTCTCCCCATTGTGGGTCCGCTGGTGTTTGTGGAGGTCGGTGCCCCGGCAGAAGCCCTGGCCACAGGCCGGGCATGTGTAGGGCTTCTCGCCTGTGTGCGTCCTGCGGTGGGCGCTGAAGTGTGAGCTGTTGCTGAAGCGTTTCCCACACTCGGCACACACATAGGGCCGCTCCCCGGTGTGTGTCCGGCGGTGGATGACCAGGCTGGAGCTCTGGCTGAAGCGCTTCCCACACTCGGCACACTGGTAGGGCTTCTCGCCCGTGTGGACCCGCTGGTGGGTGCTGAAGTTGGAGCGGTCGCTGAAGCCCTTCCCACACACCGGACACTGGTACGGTCGCTCGCCGGTGTGTATGCGCTGGTGCTTGGTCAAGTGGGACGTCTTGCTAAAGCTTTTGCCGCATTCGGGGCATGTGTATGGCTTTGCCACCCTGGAGGGCCCCCCTCTTTCCAGAAGTTGCTCAGATTTGGTCAACCCCCTGACGGGGGCCGGTTTGTGACCTAGGAATGGGGAGCTGGGACCCCTGCACCGAGCCGACAGCACTCGGTCCCATTCTGTTCTCATCTGTGTGTCCTCTTCATCCTTAAACTGCATTCCACGGCCTGAGACAGAGAAAGCAGAGTTCCTGAGGAGGAGGGGAGCTTCTGATAAGAAGGCAAAGGCTGAGTGGGCAGCCCTTCTGAGGAAAATGGAGAGCAATGCTCTTCAAATCCCCCTCAAAACACGGAGCATGTCAGTCAGACCCTGATGTGAGGTGCTAACGCCACGGCCAGAGGCTGTTATAAACACACGGCAACTTGTTTAATCCTTGTAATGCCCATGAGGTGGGTGCTGTTACTGTCCCATTTTATGGACAAAGAAACTGAGACACGCCCTACCCGGTTTGGCTCAGTGGATAGAGCATCGACCTGCAGACTGAAAGGTCCCAGGTTCAATTCCGGTCAAGGGCATGTACCTTGGTTGCGGCACATCCCCAGTAGGGGGTGTGCAGGAGGCAGCTGATTGATATTTCTCTCTCATCGATGTTTCTAACTCTCTCCCCTCTTCCTCTTCCTTCCTCTCTGTACAAAATCAATAAAATATATAAAAAAATAAAAAAATAAACTGAGGCACACACAGGGAAGTTAGGGAACTTACCAGAGTCACTTAGCTGGTAAGTTAAGAGGGCCTGTAGTCTGTCTCTGGAGTCTGGGCTCGTAACCTCTAGGCCAGGGGCAGTGGTGCACCTCAGGCAACACTTGACAATGTCTGGAGACGTCTTAGTGGTTATGTTTAGGGCCTGGAGTGTTGCAACTGGCATCTAGTGAGTGGAGGCCAAGGATGCTGATGTATAGTCTCTGGTACATTGATGGCCCCACAACAGAAGACGACCCAGCCCTCATGTCAATAGTGCGCAGGGAGAGAGACCCTGCTCTCGGTTGTTCTGTTTGGAGCAGGACCAGAAGGCCTGGTGACCCAGATCCTCAGCCTCCCGCTTGTGTACTTGGGGGAAGCCCTTGAACCCTCTGCAGACCCAAGTACAAGAGTGACCACCGTGGTGACACGAGCACAGAATAAAGGACCCTGGAACGGACCCTGGCTCTATCCCTCCAGGTTGTGTGACTTTGGGCAAGTGCTTTATTCTGCTTCCTTGTCTGAGACATAAGGCAAACCCCACCTGAGCATGAGGCATGCTGGGGCACCGGGGCGAGGAGGTTGGGGGCTGGGGAGCAGATGGCTTCAAGCAGAACCCCCTGAAAAGCTCACAGTGGGCACACACTGACCCGACAAGGAGGGACAGAACCTTCTGTCACCCTGAGATGTGTCCGCTCTAAGACCCAGAAGCCAAACATGGGCTTCAGCTCACATTTCCTGAGCCTCAATTCTCACGTGTACAATTAAGATGTAACCACCTCACAGGTCTGTTGTGAGATTTTTTGTTTTGTTAATCCTCACCTGAGGATATTTTTCCCATTGATTTTTAGGGAGAGTGGAAGAGAGAGGGTAAGACAAAGAGAACACATCGATTGGTTGCCTCCTGCACGAGCCCTGACCAGGGCCCAGGCCAGGGATGAGTCTGCAACTGAGGTATGTGACCTTGACCGGAATCGAACCTGGGACCCTTTGGTCCACAGGCTGATGCTCAATCCACTGAGCCAAACTGGTTAAAGCTGTTGTGAGAATTTTTAAAAAGGAATTGAGTCTGGCGATTCTTCAAAAGGTTACATAGTTACATGACCCAGCAATTCCACCCCCAGGTGTAGGTTCAAGAGAGTAAGTGCTGACAGTGTGACACTCGGGGGCTCTCTGATCCGGCTCACGGTTGGCCTCGCTCCTTGACCTCATTTCTCCCTTGGGAACTAGTTTCACTTTTGCTCCTGCGGGCAGTATAGAGTCCCAGATTGATCCGGTATAACTCTCCTTCTCCATTGAGGATTTCTGCTGGAGCCCAAACCTTTCTCAAGGTCACTATCTCCCCTTGCTTTTCCCTTGGGCAGGGGTCAGCATACCTGGACCCAGAGGCAGTGCCTATCTCTGAAAATAGTTTTCTGTTCTTTTGTGGCTGCTTTCACGCCAAGATGGCAGAGACTGTATGGCCCACAAACCTGAACAATTTATTATTTGTCCCTTTACAGAAAAGGTCTGCTGCTCTGGCCAGTTTGGCTCAGTGGATAGAGCATTGGTCTGTGGACTGAAGGGTCCTGGGTTCAATTCCAGTCAAGGGCACATGCCTGGGTTGCAGGCTCAATCCCCATTGGAGGGGTGTGCAGGAGGCAGCCAGTCAATGATTCTCTCTCATCATTGATGTTTCCATCTCTCTCTCTCTCTCCCTCTCCCTTCCTCTCTGAAATCAATGAAAGTATATATTTAAAAAAAAAAAAAAAAAGTCTGCTGACTCCTCCTCTAGTTCTTGGGTTTGAACTACACAAACACAATCACCATGGTTTAAACCCCAGGAGAGGACAGAAGCTAACCTGGGACTTCTGTTTCCTTCTTGCTGACCCCGCCCCCTCGCCACCTGAGCTGGCACCACTAGAGACATCCCTAGGTCACAAGGCAGCAAGAGCTGGGTCCCACAGGCCTTCTCCTCACCCCTGTCGGGCAGTCAGGTAGGGCCTGGGGAGTCCTGCTTACAGGACAAGAGAAGGGAGGATGTGAGTATGGGCTGTACTAGAAATAGGGGACTGCAAATCCTTTCCTCATGAGGGCAAACGGGCATCAGAAGAATCTAAAGAAAAGTGAAATGCTCTGAAAGACAGAGGTTTTGCCTCTGTGCAGACTGTTTCCTCTGAGAGGAAGTGAGGAAACAGGGCTCAAGGCTTTCACTGGCTCTGGGAGGGAAACCCTGACACCCTGGAGGAGTCTGGAGTTTCATCACAATAGAGACTAAGTGGCCAAGAATTACAACTAAGTGGGAAACGGAACAGAGAGCATGGGGCAATGTCCAGCAATAGTGTGCACAGAAAATTAGTGTTCTCCTTCTATGAGGCAGTGGAAAGGTTCATTTTCATTCAGTCCACCGGTTCTTAGTTTGAAAAAAATGAGGATGTAAAGGAAAGTATGTAATGATTACGGCTATGTTGTTATTTGGTTTAAATGCCAATGTAGATGCCACTGTTGGAGGTATTATGTAGATGTGATTAACATTTACAAATCAACTGACTGTAAGTAAAGCATCACCCTCCTAACTGGAGGTGGGCCTCGTCTAATCAGGTGAAGGTCATAAGAGCAAATCCTGAGGTTTTCCAGAGAAGGAATTCTGCCTCAAGACTGCAGCATAGAAATCTTGCCTGGATTTCCAGCCTGCTGGCTTGCCGTACAGATTTTGGACTTGCCAGCCTCCACAATCATGTGAGCCAATTCCTTAAAATATATCTCTTTACACATACACATCCTATTAGCTCTGTTTCTCTGGAGAACTCCAACTGATACAAAGCAGCATCTCAACTCCTTTAGAAAACATTTAGGGAATAAGTGGGTGACAGAATTGGCAAGACAAGACAAGTGGAAAGAGAAGAGACAGTGTTGAGTGGGGAGCCGGGGCATTGGTAAGGAGAGGCCATTGATGGCCAAGGCCTTGCCAGGAGCAGCTCTACCCATGGGGGCTGAGGGCAGCACAGAGGCTGAAGGGAAACTGGACCAATTGAATGGGTGCAGGAATGAAAGAAGGAACTCAGGACAGCTCTGGGCATCTGCCTGGGATGTGGGTGAGCCACCACACTGCCCCCACTGCAGCTGGGCCACTGACAAGACACCAGCAAACCTGGCTTTGCAGGCTGTATGCAGCTGGATACCAAGCAAAATTGCCAGAGAGCACACCTGGCCTACTAAACCAACCCTGGGCATGGGGCCGGCGATGCTTCCCATGATTCCTCAGGCCACTACAGTTTGAGAACTTCTAGACTGACTCCTGTAGGCAGTAGAGAGCCAGGGAAGGTGTGAGCGGGGAGGTGGCCTGGGTCTTGGGTCCTGAAGGAAACATACACCTGGGGGAAATGCCAGGCCAGCTACATCCAACATGAGGCAAAGAGCCTCCGTCCCCCTAGGACTGGCCTAATGGTTAGCAGCCAGGGTCTCCCCACATGTTACCTTCACTCTCTGGCAGCATGTCCCGACTTCGGTCCTGCTGAGCTGGGTCCAGACACCCCCCCTCCTTCTGGGACAGGTACACGGCCATGTCCTCCAAGGTCACTGGTACCTGCAAGGACACAGCCCACTCAATCCTACAGGCTGGGCCAACCTGGTGAGCTGACCTTTCCCTTCCACTCACGTCACAATGGTGGGTCCTGCTTGCCTCCCACCACTTTTTCCCCCCCCACAAGCTGTCACACACCTCTCCTCCCAACCTCAGCTCACAGACACGGCAGCATCCTGCTCTTTGGGACGACACTATTGCCATCATGCTCTGTCCTGTTGCTGCAGGGCAGCACAGTGTGGACAGATTCGCTGTGCGAAGCAGCCGGATCCACTGTGTGCTCAGCCATGGGGGCCCATGCTCCTTGGAGACATGGGTTAGCATGCCCTACCTCAACTCAAGCCAGCCCCGGGACCCAAATGGGGTGACTTGAGGACTTTAGGACGGCTCTAAGCCAGTGGTTCCCAAATCTAGCACCAGACTGGCCTAGGGAACATGATTAAAACTCAAGCAAAAGTAGATAAATAACATAAATAAAACCCAAGCTTACAAGGTCCAGAAGAGACAAATCCAGAAACAGAAAGAGGATCAGTGGTTGCTTGGGGAGGGGTAATGGGGAGTGACCACTAAGGGGTGTGGGGAATTTTGGGCAGGTGATGAAAATGTTCTAAAATTGATTGTGGTGATTGCATAACTCTGTAAATGTACGAAACATTGTATACTTTAAATAGATGAAATGTAAGTATATGAATTGTATTTCAATAAACTTTTATTTAAACAAGTACAAAAAACTATTCCAGGCCGTGGCTAGGAGAGGAATCTTTTTTTTTTTAAATATTTTATTGATTTTTTTACAGAGAGGAAGAGAGAGGGATAGAGAGTTAGAAACATCGATCAGCTGCCTCCTGCACACCCCCTACTGGGGATGTGCCCACAACCAGCAACCTAGGTACATACCCTTGACCGGAATCGAACCTGGGACCCTTCAGTCCACAGGCTGACGCTCTATCCACTGAGCCAAACCAGCTAGGGCGAGGAATCTTTATTTTTACCTAGAGTCCCAAGAGATTCTAACACCCAGTTGGGTTTGAGCGATTACCCAAGCTCACATTGGACCCCAGACTCCTACAAACACACCTAATACTCAGGTGGCATCTGAGAAAGAGCAAGATACCTCCCAGTAGGCAAAGGTCATTTCAGGGGGAAGTGCCTCGGAAACCCACAGTCCTGGCCATGGGAGAGAAGTGTCTCCATGGGGATGCTGCAGACCAGGAATGACCACCACTCACCTGGGACCAGGCTGCAAGGAGGGATGTGGCTGGTGCTGCCATCTCCTGGTGCGGGGAGGTGACTGGGCCTGGGGAAAGAGCAGTGGCCAGTGAAGTCCACAATAGCCCACCTGTGGGCACAGCAATGAAGGCCAGGACAGGTCCAGCAGCTCCCCACCAGGAGCCACATGCACACAGGCCTCAACCTCCCCCAATGCTCTCTTCCCTTTGCCTCCCTCTCCTGAAGGGCTGCGTTCCTTGAGGGCGGCTACTCACCCCTCTTTGGCTGGAGTTCAGGGTTTCTTTTCTGTCTGTGGCTTAGCTGGGCTGGGGGCTGCTGGCTGGAGTCCCGAGCTCCTTCCTCCAGGGACAACTCCTTTGGCTGGGCCTCTGCCTGACGTTTCAAAGACTGTTCCCCCATCTGGTGGGGCACTGCATGATCAGAGAGTCCCTCCGGGCCCTGCACACAGATGGAGAGCGCAACCAGCTCCCAGGTCAGGGGGAGACCCACAAGGTCTCCAACCCCTCGTCGGGCACCCCTGGCCACCCTCACCACCAAGGTGGCCTCGTCATTGTGCCCTTGGCCCTCCACGTGCCACACACAGCCCTACCTCCAGCAACACCCAGGGAGAATGCGAGCTGGGAAGAGGGCAGGCTCCTGGCTGGGACACAAGGAGGCCTGGTCTGCTCCTGAATGGGACTCGTCTCTCCCTGTCACACTGCATCGGGGTCCCTGTCACACTCCTACCCTTGTTTCTTGGTGCTCTCAACAAACCCTGGCCAGAAGGGCCCTGTATCAAATCTCATTTTGGAAGTTGGCATTACTGCATTTGCTACCTTTTTTGAAATCATTTACAGGTGCTCTGGGATAATCTAATTCCTTATTCCAGAGAAGGTTAATTGAACAAACTCGAGTCGCAGTTTGCTGAGCTCTGCAATAGCACTTGAGATAAGAAACATTCCCCGGGGAACTACTAAGACAGCTGGGGAACCCATCTCAGGCTCCCTCTCATCCAACATTCCACACCTCTGACAGGAGACGGTCCTAGAGATTCCAGGGTACACAGTGACAGAGGGCAGCCATGCAGGAACCCCCAAAACCAGGCTGGAGGGGTGGGGAGGGCATCCCAAGTTCTTATTAGTCACCATGACAGCAGGATTTGCCGACTGCACTCAACGCACATTGTGGTCAGGTTTGGGGGGAATGTCTGTCCTGCTGAACAGCAGTGTGTGGGCAATGGCACTGCCACAGGAAGAGACTGACCTGTCAGCATTTGCCAACCATCTAATCTGGGCATGGCACTGAAAAAAGAATTTAAAAAGGTGAGGTGGCCTTTTAATTTTTTTTTCATTTAAGGAGTTTAGTGACTAAAAGCAGGAGAAATTTGTAAGAGACTTCCCACTCTCCAGACCTGGTTAGGAGGAGCTGGCATGTGCTCTAGAGTTTCGCTGTCTATAGAACTTCCCACGATGATGGAAGTGTCCCATAGCCACACTGTCCAGTACAGCAGTCACTACCCACGTGGGACGACTGGGCACTTGAAATGTGGCTGGTGTGACTTAGGAATTACATTTTTAATTTTACTTAATTTTAAAAGTCACATGGGGCTGTTGGACAACGTAGCTCTAGAGAGATTGGGGAACATCTGGGGGAGCTGATCCGGGCACCCACCAGCCATGAGCACCTCCCCGTTGGGATCTCTTCAATTCCCAAGGTCATGCTTGGAAGGTGTGCGATCTGTGCCTGGCCCAGTATTAACAAACCAATCCACACTAGCTTAGAAACTGCTGGGGCAGTGGTTGGGAAACTCATTAGAGCCAAATATCAACAGTACAATGATTGAAATTTCTTTTGAGAGCCAAATTTTTTAAACTTAAACTATATAGGTAGGAACATTGTTATTAACTTAATTAGGGTACTCCTAAGGCTTAGGAAGAGCCACACTCAAGAGGCCAAAGAGCCGCAGTTTGCCGACCACGGGGCTAGGGGAGCTATATCAACAGGTGGATACCCCTTGGCCAAGGATGAGAAACTTTATAGCTGCCTTCTTCCATTCAAAACATCTGGTTCTCCCCATGACCCCAGCTGGCCGCAGCTCCAGAACCCAAGGAATCTCCAAGTGCAGACCTCAGCAGCAGGGCCCTGAGGACACAGAGCCCCTTTCCTCACCTCAGGGCCAGAAGGCCCCCCACCTCACCCTCTGTTTCCTGGGCTCCCGCTGAAGCCCTTCCACGAGGACCACGGCCTCCTCACCGCTCTCCGGCTGCCGCTCCCGCACCCAGGCCTGGATCTCCCCAGGCAGCACCATCAGGAACTGCTCCAGCACCAGCAGCTCCAGGATCTGCTCCTTGGTGCGCAGCTCCGGCCGCAGCCAGCGGCAGCAGAGCTCCCAGAGGCGGCTCAGGGCCTCCCGAGGGCCGGCCACCTCCTGGTAGCAGAAGAGCCGGAAGAGCTGGCGGAAGGTCTCAGGGCTGGGGTCTTCCATCTTCAGGGAGGGCTCCTCTTCCCAGTGGAAGTCCTCCTCCACCTTCACAATCAGGATCTCATCCTCCTCCAGGGGTGCTGCGGGCTGGAGGCCGGGGGCAGTCGCCATGTTCCCAGTGGGCCTTGCTCCTTCTCAGGCCTCGGGGATCAAATCTGTCTCTCCCTGAACCCCTGGCCAGCCACTGGGCAGGTGTTTCTTCAGGACTCTGTGGACAGAAGATAACGTCATCTGGGGTGCACTGGGGCTGGATAAGCATCTGCACCCATAAGCCCCTGCCCTGGGTCCAGTACTAACTGTGGGAAACCGCCTATTGTCTTCACTAGCAGAGAAGTGTAGACAGAGAACCCGGAAGGCTGGTGACCTTTGAAGCCCTAGCAAAGGTCAGAGCTGTGCACCACCTCTGTGAGTCCAGACATGGTAGCTGAAGCAACTTCCCCACCAGATAGTCATGTAAATCCTTATTGATAAGATAGTCTGTGTGTTACTGGAAGTTGCCTGCCTAAGGGCTATACTATGGGTGGATCCCAAACCAATAAAAGGTTGGTGCGGCCTGAGCACCAGCGGAAGTCCTTCCCCTTGAGTTGGACTTACCCGCCTGGCCCCCCAATATTTCCAATTTATCTCTTGCCTCTTCTCTTTCATTTGTGTGCGGCTCCTCTTCCAGATCCTGAACCCTGAACCACGCGGGACGTGGGGGGAAACATTTACAACAACTAACCCACCCTCTTTGGCAAAAAGGGTTGAAATCGATCAACTTATCTCTGCTACTAACTCCCTGCTAGTTCCGGGGCAAACCGCTTAACCTCCCTGGGCCTGAGTTTCCTCCTCTGAAAAGAAAAGATGGTGACATCATCCACACACAGGTTGCTGAGGGAACTACACGGGATGTTCGGGAAGTTCAGCGCGGGGCCTGGGACCGGTCAGAGGTGGAGGAACGCTGAGTTTTCATTACATTACAGCTGACCCTTTCGGGATGGGGTCCCTTAGGGTGGGAACCAGAGTCCCCGCTGCCCAGGAGGACGCAGATTCAGTCTCAACCTGACTCGGGGTCCGGGCGCGGTGAGTCCCTCCACGAGCCCCGCCGGGTATCCCGAGTGGACAGTCACCGCCGGGGTCCCTCCGGCCCCAGGGCCCTGCGAGGGTGGGACTCCGGGCGGACTGCCCAGGTCTCGGAAAGTGAGCGGTGGCCGAGGCCGGAGCCCAAAGCAGGGTGCTGGGTCGGGCCGCGGGATGGCAGTTAGAGTCGGGACCCCGCGCCCTCGGACTCACCCGCTGCGCTGTGGACCCTGGAATGTTCGGTGCGCGGGACGGGAGCGGGAGCGCGGGCGCTGGGGGCTCGACGGGCTGGCTGGCTCGGGCCGGGTGGGGAGGTAGAGGACCCCAACTGCAGGACGCAGCAGAGCGGTGCGGGCATTGGCTGAACGAGCTGTCCGGCTGGGGGACGAGGCAGCGTGGGCAGGTCCACGGGAAGCTTTGGGCGGGGCGTAACGTAGTCCTCGCGCGATTGGCCGAGCTGGCTGTCAAGAACAGTAATTAGCTTGGATAGGCGGGTCTTTGGGAGGTGTTGTGGGTTACGTCATCCTCGCACCATTTGCGGAGAGACTGTCAGGCGTTGGCCGGAGGCCACGTAGGCGGGCGCGCGAGATGCATTTTGGATAATGTAGTTCTGGAACCCCTGGCTGAACCGCTGTGAGTGTGGGGAGGAGGCATAGGTGAGCCCGCGGTCAGCGTTGTGTGTAATTAGTGCCCCCCCACCCCGCACCTTCAGTGAGTACACGCTGGTGCTCGGAGGCTCCGCATTGGGCCATTTCCCCGTCTCCCTTCCACACCTACCCTCCCACTATGGAGGGGACCTTGAGAAGTTACTTTTTTTTTTTTTTTTAAATCTTTATTGTTCAGATTATTACATTTGTTCCTCTTTTTTCCCCCCATAACTCCCCTCCTTCCAGCTCCCACCCCACCCTCCACCCTCACTCCCCACCCACTGAGTTCATCCCTAGGTGCATGATTTTTGTCCAGTCACTTCCCGCATCTCCCACACCCCTTTTCCCCCAAGAATAGTCAGTCCATTCCCTTTCTATGTCCCTGATTCATTATAGTCACCAGTTCATTCTGTACATCAGGTTATTTATTCACTTGATTCTTAGATTCATTTGTTGATAGATGCATATTTGTTGTTCATAATTTGTATCTTTACCTTTTTCTTCTTCTTCTTCCTCTTAAAGCATACCTTTCAGCATTTCATATAATACTGGTTTGGCCGTGATGAACTCCTTTAGTTTTTCCTTATCTGTGAAGCTCTTTATCTGACCTTCAATTCTGAATGATAGCTTTGCTGGATAAAGTAATCTTGGTTGTAGGTTCTTGGTATTCAGCACTTTGAATATTTCTTGCCATTCCCTTCTGGCCTGCAAAGTTTCTGTTGAGAAATCAGCTGACAGCCGTATGGGTATTCCCTTGTAGGTAATTGAGCCTCTTTCTCTTGCTGCTTTTAAGATTTTCTCTTTGTCTTTTGCTCTTGGCATTTTAATGATGATGTGTCTTGGTGTGGTCCTCTTTGGATTCCTTTTGTTTGGGGTTCTCTGCGCTTCTTGGACCTGTAAGTCCATTTCTTTCTCCAGGTGGGGGAAGTTTTCTGCCATTATTTCTTGAAATAGGTTTTCAATATCTTGCTGTCTCTCATCTTCTGGTACTCCAATAATTCTGATATTAGACCGCTTAAAGCTGTCCCAGAGGCTCCTTACACTATCTTCACACTTTCGGATTCTTTTTTCATTTTGCTTTTCCAATTGGGTGTTTTTTGTCGAATCTTTGGTTTGATTCTTGTGCTCCTCTGGTCTGCTATTGGGTATAATATTCTTTATTTCAGTCCGTGTATGCTTACTTTCTAATTTCTTTATCGTAGCATCGAGGGTCTCATTAGTTTTCGTGAGGCTCTGCACAAATTTATGGCAAGCCCTCAAAATTGCGATTCTTAGCTCCATATCCTCCATTTCTGTCATGTTTTTTTGTCTCCGCATCTTTTATGCTTTCTTGGTGCACCCCCTTGTGGTCTCTGTGCGCAGTCTTGTTCTAGCCAAGCCTTAATTGTTGTAGTTAACACTAGAGGGATTTGACCACCAGGCCGACTGGCTGTGGAAATCAGCTGTGGGAAAACTTCAGTCCTCTGGGGAGGCGCTAGTCCAGCCCTTGCCTGAGGCGATCGGCAAATGGCTGTGCGCAGGGTTTGGGCGGGGCGGGCTCAACAGGGCGGGGGGAGGGAGCAGCTATGGCCGCTCTCAGTCCGTCCCCAGGGGCTCTGCCTCTCTGTCCCAGCAATCGCTGCAAACCTCGGAGGGGCCGTAGCCAGACAGTCCCGCTTCTCCCGTTTGAGTCTGGGTCCCTAGAGACTCGCCCGGATCTGTAGCCCAGAGTCTGAGACTCGCTCCTGATTGAAAACGACAATCGCGCCCTCAGCCGCCAGCCCACTTTGCGCGCGCACCCTCACCACCGCACCGCCGTACCTTTAAATTTTCCACACTGCGCCTCCGCTGAGCGTAGGAATGCTGTTGTTTTTGCTTCTAGTTGAAGAGACTCTCCTCAGCCAGCCTTCCCGTGGTTCTGGTTGATGTCTGCTCTGACTTTTAGTTGTATTTTTGAAGTGGTTGTCCACGGCGGCATTCTCCGGTGTTTACCTATGCCGCCATCTTCGATTCTCCCGAGAAGTTACTTTTTTACTTATATAGTACTTTGTACTCAAGGGGGGAAGCCAGCATCTCCTTGGCTTCAATAGGCTTGTTTAGACGTGACAAGAGGTCAGAGGTAAGGGAAGATAGTCAGGCTCTGTTCTAAGGGCTTTCCTATTATTAACCCGATTCCTCTTTGAAACAACCCTAGGAGGTAGGTAGGGTTACCCCTATTTCATAGATGAGAAATCGGAGGCACAGAGAAGTTCAGTGAGGTTGGAAGCCAGACATCTATCCTAGTTTGACCCCTTAATTTTTTTAAATCCTCATTCAAGGATGTTTTTTTTATTGATGAGTGAGAGAGAGAGAGAGAAGAAGAAGAAGAAGGAGGAGGGGGAGGAGGAGGAGGGGGGGAGGAGGAAGAGCAGGAGGAGGAGGAGGAGGAGGGAGAGGGGGAGAGAGAGAGAAACATCAATTGGTTGCCTCCCATAGGTGCCCTAACAAGGGATGGAACCCACAAACTGGGTATGTTTCCTGACCGATAATCGAACCATTGAACCTTCGGTGGGTGGGAGGACTGGGTGGGAGGACGCTCTAACCACGGAGACACATCAGCCAGGGCCTCAGCCCCCTTAACTTTAGAGACTCTCCATTCTCATGTTTTGTTCCCTGTCCCCCTACATCCGGTACCCAGTTTTTATTGTGAGGGCACCAGGCAGAACCAGACACTGGGTTGCCCATGACTGATTTCTGTAGACCACCACCTCCCTGAGTGGGAGGCATCTTTAAGGGCAGATGACAGGTTTCTGGACTGCCCTCGGCCCCCACAGCCTTGTGGGACCTGGAGAAAGCAGGCCCATATGTGCCTCAGTTTCTCCTTACAGCACCAGGCCGCTTCTCAGGAAAGTCGAGATCTTAGAATGAACTACCCCTGGTTATGGGTGTGTTGCTGGGATTACCAAGGCGTGCAGCTGTGTAGAGAACTGGTGCCCAAGTCCAGCCAGGAGGCCTGCCATTCTGTCTGCTCCAGGAGGGTGTGGAAAGGGATAATTTGAACAAGTCACATCAATGTTTCTCTCCCTCTCTCTTCAATCAATAAAAACATACTTAAAAATAAAACAAACAAAAAAAACACACCCCACAGCGGTGCCAGCATGATGACAGATGGCTGCTGACACAGGCCTCTGTGTCAGGGACACAGGAAGTAGTGGGGGATGTAGACCCCATGCTGCCAGCCAATCAGATTGTTCCCCAGAAGCCAGATATCTCCATGTTTAGGTGAAAACTCCCAATTCTAAATGTAGACTTAAAATGGTTTTAAATCCTGTTTCAAATAAACAAAACACAACAGCACGTGTCTGGGCTGTGTCTGGCGCACACAGACCTATAAGATGATGCAGGCGGGATGCAGGTGGAGACAATGCTCTGAAGAAAAGCAGTGCACCCCGAGGGAGAGAGTGGTGCGGTTGCTCTTTCAGGTAGAGAATATTGCAACAAAAGGACTGTTCACTCACCTGGGTTCTACTCAAGGGGGGAAGCCAGCATCTCCTTGGCTTCAATAGGCTTGTTTAGACATGACAAGAGGTCAGAGGTAAGGGAAGATAGTCAGAGGTAAAATGTCCAGTTTACTCCCAAAAAATCTGTAGGCTGAAGCCAATCCTGCAGAGGAGGCCAGCCTGTGAGACTGAGACAGACAGACACACAGAAAGAGTGGGGAGGGGTGGAATTAAAAGCATCAGTGGTACCCTAGCTGGTTTGGCTCAGTGGATGGAGCATCAGCCTGCGAACTGAAGGGTCCTGGGTTTGATTCCGGTCAAGGACACATGCCCAGGTTGCGGGCTCAATCCCCAGTAGGGGACGTGCAGGAGGCAGCCGATCAATGATTCTCATCATTGCTGTTTCTATCTCTCTCTCTCCCCTCTCCCTTTCTCTCTGAAATCAATAAAAAAATATATATACTTTAAAAAAGCATCAGTGGTAAGAGAAGATTCTTACTGAAGGCAGGCCAAGGTGATTAGACATAACTGAGGGATGCTGAAGGTTGAGGACCCCCATCAGACACCAAGGTAGGGCATTCTGGCTACACTGACTTAGGATTCTTGCTAAGACTGGGCAATGCTGAGATGAACACAGGTAAGCCCAGAAGTCAGAGCCTAGTAGAGAAGGGAGTTTGAGTAGAGTTTAGTCAAGATCATCTTTGCCACCACTTCCAGGGTAAACAGACGCCCTATCCCTGACAGGAAGGAAGACTGCCCTGGAGAAGCTGGGAGTGCCCTTTGGGGTTCTCATTTCTAAAGCAGAAGTTGTTCAAGATAAGACTACTAAAGAGAGGCCAAGTGCCTTCACCCACCCTCTGCCTGGGAGATAAAGCCTCCGGGTTCAAGGTGTAGCCCTCCCTACCCAAGCTCACAACTTCCAACCCCTATTTCTTTCTGAACAATAATAATGGCCACCAACCCCTTAGCACCAGGCAATACTGTACATACTTGCATTCCGTTTGTTCCAAATTTAGTAATAATATATAGGGTGTCCCCAAAAATATATACACACACACTTTGAATAATTAAATAGGCAGTGTTTATTAGAATACATTTCATTTTCAAAATTGAGTTACCAGCTGTTAACCGTTTGCACTCCGAACCATTCTGGACATTGGCTACCAGCTACTCACTTTGCGGCGGAAACGTGCATTTACAGACCCTCGTATTATTTAGTATAATTTTGGAACCAAGTAACGTATTATAATGATATTGGACTTATATGAATTGGGTGACATCGAGGAATGTATATTTGC